CAACATTAGCTTCTAATATTTAATATCAGGATTCAATTCAGTATGTACTGTATACCTATTCTGTTCCAGGTACTGATCTAGAGAAGCTGTGCCTATAGTAAAACGAAAATAGGTAAGATCCTTCTCCTCTTATAGAGCTTACACAGTAGTGGATGACAAACCAACAAGGTAATTTCATATAGCTAAGACAACATAGGGTGGAAAAACTGCAACCGGGGTGAGGACAACTTTAAATAAGTACAGTCAGAAAAAGCCTCTTTGAAAGGGCCAAGAATGCTACAGGCAGAAAGAACAGCATATGCAAAGGCCCTGGGGTGTTAACAAACTTGCCATGTTGGAAAAACCAGAGAAAGGCCCACTTGGCTGCAGCACAGTAACTCAGTGGGCCAGGTGCTACTATTTGAATGTGTCCCCTCCAACATTCATGTTGAAACTTAATCCCCACTGTGGTGGTATTAAGAGGTGGGGCCTCTGAAGAAGTGATTAGGTCATTAGGGCTCTGCCTCTGCAAACCTTTACAAAACCTCTCTCCAACACTTTCAGAAGGATTGGAGAGAACTAGTTTAGGTTCTTTTGTCCTTTTGCCTTTCACCATGTAAGGACACAGAGGTCATCCCCTCCAGAGGATACAGCAACAAGGCAACATCTTGGAAGCAGGAACAAGGTCCTTACCAAACACCAAACCTGCCAACACCTTGATCTTGGACTTCCCAGCCTCCAGAACTATGAGAAATAAAGTTCTGTTCTTTATAAATTATCCAGTCTGTGGACTGTCATAGCAGCACAAATGGACTAAGACAACAGAAGTATAAACCAGAGATACTGCCCAACTGTAGGCAGGAGATGATGGTAACATAGATGAGTGCAAAAAGTAGAAAAAGAGGAACAGACAAAATTGGGATATATTTTTTGGAAATTGAGCCAAGAAAACTTGTTGATTGACTGAAAGGGTGAAAGGAAATAAAAATAGTTGCTAGTTGTGGATTAAGTAGGTGGGTGGACAGTGGTACCATTTATGAAAATAGAAAAGACTGAAAGGAACACCCTGTGAGGTGAAATAAAGAGATCTGTTTTTGACTTGTTTTATGCTAATAAAACATCCAAATAGAGATGTTGATGAGGTAGTTGTGTGTACAAATGTGAAACTTGGAAAGGGTCAGTCCTCGAAATATAAATTTGGGAGTTATTAACACATGGATGGTATACAAAGCCACTGGACGAGAAGGAACCAATTAAGCAGGGAGCATCAATGAGGAAGACTGAGGCAGGTTGTAATAGTCAAACATTCTAGAGAATGGCAAAAGAAAGCTAATACGTTTTGAGTATTCTATACCCCGTACTTCATGCATAACATGCCAGTTTTTTGACTAGAACTCCGTGACGTAGATTATGAACATCTCAATTTTAAAGAAAATCAAACCCAGGTCCATCTGACTCACACTTAAGATCATTTCTTCCTATTATGTGGCTTCTCCAAGTACTCAACATGATTAAAGGCACAAGATTCTGTGACTGATCAAGTCCTGTTGAGTTCCCACATGCACAGCACCATAGGTCACTACAGAATAAGACAGCAACTGCTCTTACGTTTTCAATTTCTTTGAAAATCGTAACACTTCACTGTAGGGAATCATGAAGCATACAACTTTAAATACAAAAACTTCACTGTTCCTGCTATTTTAATTCATAATCTTTCTAGAATTTTACTACTTGTTTCTCTTCCTTATTATGCATAGAATACAAACATAATTTCGCCTTTTTTAAATGCTTCCAAGTCTTATAAAACAGTGACAATTTTGGTGATAGTTCTGTGTCATAATATAAAGCAATATGCAGGCATTTATTTCAGGAGCAAGTAACTCATAAGGACTTCATTATGTTTGTCTTAATGGTCTCATGGATTATTGGTTCCTAAAATGAATGTCCCCACACTGCTTTATAGTCACTTATTTCCTCCCTCGATGTGGCCATGGTTTGGAAAGTCTACTTCTAATGGTTGTTGTCCCTGTAATGCAAGAAGCCTTCAAGGAAAGCAGACCACCAACCGTATTTAATCTGTTATCTCAATTCTCAATCCATTCTAAGTCACGGGCTCCACGTCTTCCCTTGGAGCTCCCTTTCACTTTCAAATTTCAGATTTCTTATCCCAGGATGCAGAGAACAAAAAAGAATCCTGAGATAACATTTTTTAGACAATCAGAATAATGAAATGAAACTCACCTTGTCCTTCAATAATATTCCTAAGGATAAAAGTAGCTCCAAGGCCGTTTCCTGATCTCTGGATGCAAATCCCCAGAAATTGGCTGGTTTTTCCACTGGCATATAGGTCAGCTGTAGTAACACGAAGTATGCTTCCTAAAAATTCAAAAGAAAAGTGAACTTTTATATAACACGCAGAAAAAAATAACATTTCTAGGTAACTTCTTAACTTCCTAAATATTTTAATATATTAAGAATAAGTACCTCATACAGGCAAAACCCAGATATGTGAAAAACAATCTTCTCTATGCAAAGAAAACTAACCCTCCAACCACTAATAATAAAAGCATCCAGTGATTACTGACCAACATAGAACTCTGGAATGTGGAGTACTTTTCTCCTTTCTAACATATCTTTTCTTTCTAGCTGAAATTTCAGAGGATCTGTTCTTCCCCTTGGAGGAATAAATTCAGGACTCAAAAACCTGTGAAAAATATAAAAAAAAAAAAATTAAAAGTAAACTTAAAAGGCCACTAGAAGAAAAACTGTTGCTTTACAAAGAAATGAAAGAATATGGTATTGATGTGCTTTACTCTTCATTGCTTAGATAAGAAAAATACATTTTATTTTTGAAATTGTTAATGCTCGTGAAAATAGTCAACAGTTCCCGAGTACTCACCTGTTACTTTGTTAAAAACTTCATTAAACGTCTAAAGCAGAAACTAATTCTCATAGCAACCAGGTGGGTTTGGTGTCATCATTTCCTTTTTACAGAAGAAGAAACTGAAGCTTAGAAAAGGTAAATAACTAATCCATTATTTTATTAGCTATAAATTTGTCAAGTCAAGATTTAAATGTAGGCATGTCTGTCAGTCTCCAAAGCCTATGGCCTCACACTGAGCTACGTATGTTATTAATAAATTATGCTGGAAAAGATATAAATGTATAAATCACCAACTGTAAACTGACTTTTAAAATAATCTTCTTTTGCTTGTTTAACTGATTTTAAACTCATTATGAAATATTTAATCTATATAAAAAGTATAAATGCCATTACAATGACTACTCATGTCCCTACCATCCACCTCAAGAAATAAATTATCAATATAGTTGAAACCACTGTGCATCCCTCCCTACTTCCTATAGTTAATTACTATCCTAAATTTGGTGATTATTCCCATGAATTTATTCTATTTCCTCAATTTTCTACTCTGAAAATTTTCA